GCCTGGTGCTTCAGTTGGTTGGGTATCCGACTTCAGCTCAGGTCATGATCTCACTGTGTGTTGAGTTCAAGCCATGCATCAGGCTCTGTGCTGACATCTCAGAGCCTGGAGCCTGCTTTGGATTCTGTGTCTCCTCTCTCTGCCCCTCCCCACACTCACTCTGTCTCTCTGTCTCACACACAAAAAATTTTTTTTAATTAAAAATAACAAAAGAACCCACGAGTTGTAGTTCCAGGAAGAAAATTCCAGCCTGAGATTGCCACCCTAGAAATCACATTTTCTCCTATTCATATATAAGGATATAGTAGTTCCCTGTCCTGAAGCTTCCAGAAGCTCCCACTTGCCCTGATTCTACAAAAAAAGAATACATGCTTGCTACCATCTTGTACCTTATTGTTAGCCTCAGGACCTATTATATTACTTTTTAGAAACTAATAGTGACAAATGAGAGTTCTCCTGAGGTACTCAGGGAGATGGAAATAAATCTAGGTTTATAAAAGCTGTGAAAAGTTTTATGCAAGTTAAGGTTTTCCCCTAGATCTCCTGAGGCTGTCTGGACAATTCTGAAATACACCAAAGGACGTCTGACAGTCTTGAGAAAAACCAAAAACCATGAAGGCTGTGGTGCTCAACACACGGTTGGTACAGAGAGATTTTCTTTTAGAATTGTCTGTAGTTCTTTTTTTTTTTTAAGTTAATTTATTTATTTTTGAGAGAGACACAGTACAAGCAGGGGGAGGGCAGAGAAAGAGTGGGAGAGACAGAGAATCCCAAGCAGGCTCTGCATTGTCAGCACAGAGCCCAATGCGTGGCTCAAACTCACGAACCACGAGATCATGACCTGAGCTGAAGTTAGATGTTTAACTGACTGAGCCACACAGATGCCTCTAGGATCATCTATAATTTTTTTTTGTTTTTATTTATTTATATTGAGATCGAGCGAGAAAGCGTGTGCACATGGAAGAGGCAGAGAGGGAATCTCAAGCAGGCTCCATACTGTCAGCATGGAGCCTGATGCTGGGCTGGAACTCACGAACTGTGAGATCATGACCTGAGCCGAGATCAAGAGTTAGACGCTTAACCGACTGAGCCACTCGGGCACTCCTTGTCTATAGTTTTAATAGCTATCCCTGTTATATTATTGTGTGACTATGAAACCTCATCCATTTGATGTTCTCCAGCCTTGAGTAGCTGCCCACCTATGGCTCCTACTTCTTAACATCCCTGAGCTCAGGTGCTAGTTAGTTACCTGACATTGTGGGGCTGCTTGTCACAGGACAGCACCGTGCTTGCAATGGACTGCTGCAGGTGCTGTCGTTGCCTCCTCAGGATCTGCTGGAAGTCATCTTCCAGGGTCTGTACCACATAACGCAGAAAAAGGACTCTCCCAGGCAGATTTTGCCCCTGTAGAAGAAAAAATGAGAAGTATTTCCTCTCAATTTCCTGATGAGTGAGCATTCGGCTCTCCTAAATATGAAGTCCAAGCGAAGGCCATGCATCACGAAGTATGTCTGTACCTAAAAGAGAAGCTCCTGAGAGAGAGCAGGCAATCGAGGTTGTTTTAAAAGAGGGAAAACCGGGCAATCCCAGAGCTTGGAGGCTCAGGACTATAGACTTTCTAATTTTAAGAGATAGATAGCCATGACAAGTCGTCTCTCACTAAACTTGACTATCAGTCTCAGGATAAACCTCAAACTGTGGGTATCAGAATAGAGAGACAAAAACTGGTTCCTATATGATCCTGTTGAGCTGCTGGATCAAGCAGTCATGATGTCCATACCACTGCTGAACTTCTAGTAACGTGAGCTGATTCACATCCTTATTGTTTAAGCAAGTCCGAGTTGAGTTTTCTGTTACAGGTGAAATGATTCTAACTGAGAAAGCTGAACTGTTGTAGGTAAAGAGCATGGGCTTTGATGGCACACAGATCTTATGTATTTATTTTTGTTTGATTGTTTTAAACCCAGATCTATACTCATTCAACTGCCCTTCTGAGTTTCACTGTCTCTTGATTTAAGTGGTGATAATTTTAAGTATACAAAAGCCAGTATAAGTACCTGTGACATGCCAAGCAGACATGCACCATTTGTTGATTTCCCTTTACTGGGAGACAAGTGCTGGGACGTAGGACCAGGAGCTCGGGCTTTCAAACTTCAAAGAATAAGGCCCCAAACTGTTTCTGGATTCTTCAGGAACTTTTCAAACAGCAGGGGGTTGGTATATACTCTAAGAATATAAACTCATGGACTAGGGTACAGTTTAGTAAGCAGGAAAACGAATAACCATTGTAAGCACATATGATTTCTTTTTTTTAAGAGGTGAGAGGGGCATCTGGGTGGCACAGTCAGTTGAGTGTTGACTTTGGCTCAGGTCACGATCTCACAGTTCATGGGTTTGAGCCCCACATTGGGCTCTGTGCTGGCAGCTCAGAGCCTGGAGCCTGCTTTGGATTCTGTGTCTCCCTCTCTCTCTGGTCCTCCCCTACTCATGCTCTGTCTCTCAAAAATAAATAAACGTTAAAAAATTCTAAAATAAATAAATAAATAGGTAAGGATGTGATAACTTTGTCTTCCAATGTGCATATTTTTTTCTAATCCTCATTAACTAGTGCAAATGATTTTTTAAAAGTTTATTTATTTTTGAGAGAGAGTGTGCACAAGCTGGAGAGGGGCAGAGAGATAGGATCCCAGGCAGGCTTTGCACTGTCAACATGTAAGTGGGGCTTGAGCTCACAAACCACGAGATCGTGACCTGAGCCGAAATCAAGAGTTTGATGCTTAACCAACTGAGCCACCCAGGCACTCTGGTGCAAATTTTTTTAAAATCAAGTAATTATGCTAGATTTATGATGAAAGTCTTTCACTAACACCACTCTCCACTACTGCTTGCCCCCTGCAGTACCCTAGAGTGAAATTTTACTCTTCTGAAAGTTACTCTAAACATCTCTAAAAAATGCTCATATCATTACTTCTTGATTTATCAACTTTAGACATTATCTATTGGCTTCTGCTGTGTTAGATAAAGATTTAATTCACTTATGCCACTTCCCCATTTCTCTTCCTAAAATAACTATCTCAATTTATGTTCCATCATCTACAGATAGTATCTCTTGACACCCAATTTTATAAGATAAAGATGCTATAAAAGCCCTACTACTCAGAGATCCTATCCCTTTTCACTTCCTAATCTTTATCATCTAGGGCTTTCCATTGTCAAGGCTAAAATTGTTTTGTTTTATATATAAATTGATTCTAAATATTAGAACTAAATAGTGTTTACAGTATGAGGACTATGTTAAAATTATTTACTACACTGGAAATCCATATAGTACACTAAGAAAATAATTTCTTTCTTGTTAAGCTTTTTGATTTTCTTAAAGTTTCTTTTTTATCCTCCCTATATTGCCTACAATTATCACTTTACCTCTTTTAACTCCTCAAGAATGGTGTTGAATCTTGAGAATATCCTTCTTTCCCATTTTTTTTTTTTCATTTTTAAAAACAACTTTTTTGGGGCGCCTGGGTGGCTTAGTTGGTTAAGCGCCCAACTTTGGTTCAGGTCACGATCTTGCAGTTTATGGGTTTGACGCCCACATCGGGCTCTGTGCTGACAGCTCAGAGCCTGGAGCCTGCTTCGGATTCCGTGTTTCCCTCTCTCTCTGTCTCTCTCCCACTCAGGCTCTGTCTCTCTCAAAAATGAACAAACATTAAAAAAAGAAAAACCAACTTTATTGACAACCCTTATAAATTCACCCACTTTAAATGTGCAATTCAATGATTTGTTGTAAATTTACTGAGCTTGGTAACCTTGGCCATAACCAATTTTTAGAGTATCTTTATAACTGAAATAAGATCCCTCATCCCTATCTACGGTTAGTTCCCGTTCCCATCTCTAGCCCCAGGCAACCACTCCTCTACTTTATGGCTCTACTGATTTGCCCTTCTGGACATTTCATATACGGAGAACTATACACTATATGACCTTGTGTAAGTGGCTTCCTTTTAAGTAGCTTAATACTTTTTGAGGTTTGTCCATGTCACGGCATATATCAAGAGCACTTTTTTTAATTACTGAATAGCATTCCCATGTATGAAGATAGCACATTTTGTTTATCCGATTGTTTTTTTTTATTTTTTTTTACTTTTATTTATTTTTGAGAAACAGAGTGAGACAAAGAGTGAGCGGGGGAGGGGCAGAGAGAGAAGGAGACACAGAATCTGAAGCAGGCTCCAGGCTCTGTGCAAGCGGTCAGCACAGAACCTGATGTGGGGCTCGAACCCACAAACTGTGAGATCACGACCTGAGCCGAAGTCGGAGGCTCAACTGACTGAGCCACCCAGGTGCCCCTATCCATTCAATTGTTGATGGACATTTGGGTTGTTTCCACTTTTTGGCTATTATGAATAAGGCTGCTATGAACATTCACATGTAAGCCTTTGTTAGACATATATTTTCATTTTTCTTGGGTCAGTATCTGGAAGCTGAACAGCTGGGTCATAAGTTTATGTTTAATTTTTTAAAGGAACTGTCAAACTGTTTTCGACAGTGGCTGTTCCATTTACATTCCCACCAGTAATGTATCAGACTTCCTGTATCTCTACTTTCTTGCCAGCATTTGTTATTGCCTACTTTCTTTTTAAAATTGTGGTAAAAAAAACATATAACATAAACTTAACTATCTTAACCATTTATTTTTTATATTTGAGAGAGAGCACAAATAAGGGAGGGGCAGAGAAAAAGAGGGAAACACAGAATCCTAATCAGGCTCCAGTCTCTGAGCTGTCAGCCAGAGCCTGATGCATGGCTCAAACCCACAAACTGTGAGATCATGACCTGAGCTGAAGTCGGATGCTTAACCGACTGAGCCATCCAGGGGCCCTGTATTTTTTTTTTTTTTTTTTAAGTAGGCCTCATGCCTAGCATGGAGCCCAACACGGGGCCTGACATCAAGACCTGGGCTGAGACCAAGAGTCAGATGCTAACCAACGGAGCCACCCCATCTTAATCATTTTTCAGTATATTCACGTAGTTGTGCAACAGATCTCCTGAACTTTTCCATCTTGCAAAATGAAACTTTACACACAATGAACAATCATGTCCCATTTCTCCCTCCCCCCTAGCCTCTGGTAACCAACATTCTATTTGCTTTTTATATTAATGACAGCTATAGATACTTTGTGTATGTCAAATTATACAGGGTCTTTTTATGACTGGCTTATTTCACTTAGTATAATACCCTCATTATGGTACCATCCATGTTGTAGCATATGGGATTTCCTTCCTATCTAAAGCAGAATATTTCACTGTACCTGTATATGCCACATTTTGTTTACCTCGTCATCTACGGATGGACGTTTGGGCTGCTTCCACTTCTTGGCTTTTGTGAATAATGCTGCTATGAACATGGGTGTGCAAATATCTCTTCAAGACACTTCTTTCAATTCTTTTACACGTATACGCATGTGGGAATATATGAAGAGGGATTGCTATGAGATCTTTTAAAATCTATTGGGACTTGGGGCCCTGGGTGGCTCAGTTGGTTAAATGTCTGACTCTTGGTTTCAGCTCAGGTCATGATCTCATGGTTTGTGAGTTTGAGCCCTGCATCAGGTTCTGCCCTGACAGCATGGAGCTGCTTCAGATCCTCCCCATCCCCCTCTCTCTGTCCCTTCCTTGCTTGCCCTCTCTCTCTCAAAATAAATAAACTTAAAAATTTAAAATCTATTGGAACTTAATTTATGGCCTAAAATAAGGTCTTTCCTGGAATATGCCCCTTGTGCACCAAGAAGAAGGTGGGTACTGTTGTTGGTAGACTATTCTGCATATAATTATTAGATCTGGTTAGTTTATTGTGTTGCTTAATTTCTCTCTTTCCTTACTTATCTTCCATTCTGGTTATTCTATCCATTATTGAGAGTTGGGTATTGAAGTCTCCAACTATTAATATAGAACAATTTTTCCCTTTGGGGTGCCTGGGTGGCTCAGTCAGTTGCGCGTCTGACTTTGGCTCAGGTCATGATCTTGCGGTGTGGGAGTTCAAGCACCCACGTTGGGCTCTGGGCTGACAGCTCGGAGCCTGGAGCCTGTTTCAGATTCTGTGTCTCCCTCTCTCTCTCTGCCCCTCCCCTGCTCATGCTCTGTCTCTGTCTCAAAAATAAACATTAGAAAAAAAATTAAAAAGAACTATTTTTCCTTTTGATTCTATCAGTTTTTGCCTTGTATCTTGATGGTCTGTCATTAGGTACGTAAATATTTATGATTGTTGTATCTCAGAGTTGTATTGAACCTTTTAATTAATACATAACGTCCTCCTTTGTCTCTTGTAACATTTTCTGACTTATCTATTTTGTCTCATATTAGTACAGCCACCTGTGCTCTTTTGGTTACATACTCTTTTGGTTCATGGAATATCTTCTCCCATTCTTTCACTTTGAATCTACTTGTGTCTTTGGATCTAAAGTGTTTTTTGTAGATAGCATGTAGTTGGATCATGCCAATCTGTGTCTTTTGATTGGAGAGTTTAACCCATTTATATTTACATTTTAAAGTAATTGCTTATAAGGAAAGAGGGTCAGTCAGTAGAGAGTGTGACTTTTTTTTTTTTTAATGTTTATTTATTTTTGAAGGAGACACAGAGCATGAGTGGGGTGGGAGCAGAGAGAGACGGAGACACTGAATCAGAAGCAGGCTCCAGGCTCTGAGCTGTCAGCACAGAGCCCAACATAGGGCTCGAACTCATGAGCTGTGAGATCATGACCTGAGCCGAAGTTGGATGCTAAACTGACTATGCCACCCAGGCTCACCCCAGAGAGTGTGACTCTTGATCTCAGGGTTGTAAGTTTGAGCCCCCTGTTGGGTGTAGAGATTACTTAAAAAAAATAATAAAAAGCAATTACTCATAAGGAAGGATGCACTTGTGTCATTGTACTGTTTTCTACATGCCTTATAGCTTTTTTGTCCCTCATTTCCTGCATTATTGTCTTTTGTTGTTAGTTGATTTTTTGTAGTGAAATGTTTAAATTCCTTTGTTGCTTCCTTTTGTGTCTCTAGCTATTGTCTTTGTGGTTACCATCATAATTACATTTAATATTCGGAAGTTAAAATACTCTAATTTGAATTTGTACAAGCTTAACTTCAATAACATATAAAAACTGTTCCTTTACAGCTCTGTCCCTTACTATTTTGGTTGTTGATGTCACATAACTACATCTTCATACAAAACAAATTAATAATTCTTTTAAATGCATTAGTGTCTTTCATTACATAGAAAGCAAAATGTGGCGTTTCAAAGTTATAGTAATACTGGCTTTTAGACTAATAATTATGAAACTTGTATTAGTCACTTAACCATATAGAAAACCAAACATTATAAATTGTTGTTACAATCATAGTTTTTGTAATTGTCCATGTATTTACCTTTACTGACATCTTTGTTTCTTTATATGGCTCAAGTTACTGTTCAGTGTTTCATTTTACTCTGCAGGACTCCCTTTAGGCTTTTTTTTGCTGGGCAGGGCTAGTGGAAATGAACTCCCTCAGCTTTTGTTTATCTAGGGAGGTCTTTATTTCTGCCTCATTTTTGAAAAGCAGCTTTGTTGAACATGGAACTCTTGGCTGAGTTTTATTCTTTAGCACTTTGAATATCTTAGCCCACTACCTTCTGGCCTCCAAAATTTCTGATGAGAAACCTGCTGATAATCTTATTGAGACCTTGTATGTGATGTGTTGCTTCTCTCCTGCTGCTCTCCCTCATTTTTGAAGGATGGTTTGGCCAGATATAGTTTGGCCAGATAAGAGCTTTTTTTCCTTCAGCATTTTGAATATATCATCCCACTGCCTTGTGACTTGCAAGATTCTGCTAAAAACCTTGCATGCGGTGAGCCACTTTTTTCTTGCTGTTTTCAAGATTCTGGCTTTAACTTTTGTTAACTTTTGACACTTGATTTAATGTGTCTTGGTGTGGGTCACTGGTTTAACTTCATTGGAGTTGAACTTCACAAATCTGTATATCCATTTCTTTCCTCAGGTTTGGGGAGTTTGGGGTCATTATTTTCTCAAGTAAGCTCTCTGCCCCTTTCTCTCTTCTTCTGGGGCTCTCATAATACATACATGGTCCACTTAATAATGTCCCATGGTCCCTTAGGCTCTCTTCAACTTTCTTCATTGTATTTTCTTTTTGCTCTTCTGTCTCAATGATTTCAAATGACCTGTCTTCAAGTTCATTGACAGTTTTCTTTTGCCTGGTCAAGCATGCTGTTGAATCCTTCTAGTGAATTTTTCAATTCAGTTACACTTTTCGGGTCCAGAATATGTTTGATTCTAATAGTTTCTTGTTTAATACTCTCATTTTGTTCACACATAATTTTCATGCTGCAGTTAGCTGTCTATCTCTGCTCTCTTTTAGTTCCTTGTACATTTTTAAGATAGTTCAAAAATACTCTTTTGTCAGGGGGGCACCATTTAAGCATCCAGCTCTTAATTTCAGCTCAGGTCATGATCTCATGGTTGTGAGATCTAGCCCCACGTCAGGCTCTGCACTGAGTGTGTGCTTTCATCTGTCTTAATTTCCCAGTGGCTTGCCTTTGTCTCAGGAGCCACAGTCTCTTGCTTCCCTGGTACCTGCCTGTGGAACTGCATACTCCCTGCAGCTCTAACATGTGGCAGTGCTCACCTCTCTTTTCAGCAGCTTCCAAACTATACCACTATTCCCATCAGTGATCTGAGTCGGGTGAGAAAACAACTCTCCCTTGGGCAGCTCCCTAACAAGCCAGGAGACTGGCTCAAAGTCCACTTTTTTGTTTCCATCTTGAGGGAGGAGCTGGGGCATGTGAAGTTTCCTTCCAGTTGCACCATGATAAGCAGGGTCGAGGGAGGGGCACGGGCACACCAAATAACACAAATCTTCCTACTCCTTTCATCGAGCCCCTTCTCGATCATGCATTCTCCTGGGTACTGAGGCTTCTCAACTGATCTCCAGAGTTTTCACAAAAGTATTCTGGTCCATATGTTTTTCTTAATTTGGCGTCTCCATGGAGAACAATAGCCTGGAGCTTGTTTATCATCTAGGTGATGTTTCCCAGATCATTCTTAAAGCCCTCAATTATTCTGCTCCAATCTGGACTGACTGCTTTGTAGGTCTACTATTCACCATAATTTTAGGAATTCTCTGTATTAGTCTCTTGGATTAGATCTAGTGTTCCCTAGATCCTGTTCCACCCTCTTTCTTAATCCCTTCTTCTTTAGATGCATACCTTTAGGTAACTGAAGAAATGGGTGTGAGGCTATTTTTTCAAATTCCCACATGTCTGGAAATGTCTTTATGTTTACACTCATGCTTGAATAATAGTTTTGTTGAGTATGGAATTCTAAGCTGAAAATAATTTGTTCCATCCAAGTGCTCTGGGTGAGCAGACAGAATGCTGGCCATTTAGGGATCCCTAAAAGTCAGAATGCAGAAGACTTCTTTTCTGCAGCACCAACTCTATACTAGGTGCCTTTGTTTATGATGGATGTTTCATTCAATGTCTTTAGAAAATAAGTCCTCTGACTTTTTGCCTGAAGGGTAGGTAACCTGATGACTGAACTTTCTGTACTCAAGAATGGAAAGACTGTCAGTTCTATCTGCAAACTTTCAACAGATTTACAGCCCACATCTGACTCTAACCCTCTTGTATGTATTGTGTTTCTGAGTTGAAAACCTCTTTACTCTAAAGGGAGATTTCCTTTCTCCTTGACTGCAGCCACCTCTAGATGTATTACAGCCTATGGCTTTCTCTGCCTAGCTTCACCAGTCAACACTTACATTTCCTTTAGTTCTTCTAGTTTTCATTCAAATCTACTGCCCTTCCCCTTATTTTCATTGCCATGGATTTATATCTTTCACTATTCATCCACTATTATTTTCAATGGGCTCTCAAGAAGGAGAGGGATAAGTGAAGGTACTCCATTTCGAATTGGAAGACAGCACATACCATTTCAAAAGGAGTTTTTTGGTGAGGGTGGGAATATAAGGATGGAATAATGGCAAAGACTTTACTACCAGATTTGTCATCACTTTCGTTTCTAGTTAAAACTTCCTATGCAAAACATACACCCTCATAATTGTTATGTTACCTCTTCCTCCATGACATAAGTGAGCAGCTTCCAGTCCCACTCCACTGTCTTGGCATTAGCTGGATGTAGCCTGAAATTCAAGGGACATCAATTAGAATTCTAGAAGGTATAGTGGAAGAAGGGATGGGATCTGGAAGACGACAGAAACAAAAAAACCTCCTCTTATCCTCACTGCTTTTGTCTATCCTTTGACATGATACCATGTCATCTGACGGTAGTAGAACTTCAGTTTTTTTGCTACCCAGTATTCACTTCTCTTTTGGAAGACATTAGCACCCCAATTTTGCCTTGAAGAAATAAACTCTTTATTACTATTAGCCCATTAGCTTTACCCTACCAGGATACCAGCCCATGAAGTATATTGAGCCAATCATGATATTCTATCCCTCAGTTCAGTGGTTGGTTCAAAAATGGGCTCATGTCCTATGTTATTGCAATTAAAGCCTACAAGACTAAATTTCAGAACTTTTGTGTGATTATAAAGGAAGTGGGCTTTCTCTCATAAAAGCTGGAGGCTGAGAAGACTACTATGTGGAGCCTCAAGAGAGAAGCAAAGCAGGAAAATGGATCCTGGTAACCATTCTGAACTGAATTAAGTCTTATTCCTAGGCTTCTAGTAAAATGAATAATTAAATTCTCTTTTATCAGCTGTTACAGCTAGTTTGGATTGGGTTTCCCATTAGTTGTAATCCAAATAACACTGATACACTAAGTCACCCTCTCTAGTTGGTTAGCTCAATCAAGCTCAGGCAAGAGAAAGATGTGCCCTGAGTCCAGATTCTCTAGGAGATTCACCAACATCAAAGGTTCATACTGTTGAATTTTCATGAGAAGCATATAGGCCTCCTTCAGTACATCCACGGTCTCAGAGCCACTGAGCAGGATTTTCTGGATGATGTGAGCCACAATTTCTCTGGGTGGGTAATGCTGGGGTGACACAAAGTCCATCAAAAACTGCACAGTCCCCAGGGGAAAATTTTCTTCAATGGTGTTTGTTACCATTCTTAGTCTTCGATGAGGAATGGGTTCTAATTTTTGACTTTTACTCTGTAGAGATAAAAATAAACCAATAAGAACAGGTTTCTATAGACATATATACACAGGATCTGAAACAGATTCAAGACAGCAAAATTTTCCATGCATTTGAAAAATTAATAAAAAATAAAAAGACTGAAAAGCCTTATCTAAAAAACTTTCAACGACATGGAAAAATACTTAAGTTAAAAAATAAGAATTCAAAGTTCTACATATAATATGATTTCATCTGTGCTAAAAGCACAGAAAAGAAGTACAAAAGAGTCAAGAGCTAGCCTAAGTAGATTCTGGAGTGAAGGTGGGAAGATAGGGTAGCTGTGATACTATTATCAGATACTTAGATAAAGAGAGGGAGACACAGAATCCCAAGCAGGCTCCAGGTTCTGAGCTGTCAGCACAGAGCCTGATATGGGGCTCAAACTCACGAACTGTGAGATCATGACCTGAGCTGAAGTCGGACGCTTAACCGATTGAGCCACCCAGGTGGCCCGAAAGATGCTTTAAATATGTTTTATTGTTAAAATAAGATCCCGTTTTATTGATTTACTGTTAACAGTAAATGTTAAGTTGCTTCCCTCCCACCTCCCAAAAGTATGTATATAAAGACTGGGAGAGAATATGTGAAAAGTGGTTTTCTATTATCTGGGGTGCTGGAATTAGATGTTTTGCCTCTATACGTTCTTCTGTATGTTGCCATAATAGATACATATTACTTTCAGAATCAAAAGGAAAAACATGAAAAAGTTTTCTGACATCAGAATATATTACCAATGATGATAATTTTTGAACATTTGACTTATCCTCATCTTAATTCTCACAACCCTACTACTACTATTATTATTCCTATTATATAGATAAGGAAGCTGAGGTTTAGAGAGTAAGGACTTGTTATGCAACAAATGTCAGAAGCTGGTTTCACACATGGGTGGTGTAATCCCATATCTACCCTCTAAATTCATACTACCTCTCAACAACAAAACCAATAATAATAAATATATTTTTGTTAAAAATCCCCATTAAAAGATTTTAAATGCCTATGTATAAAAAGGCAACTGAGCAGCAAGTATTATTTTTAAAATCTGAGAATAAGTATTAAACTTATTATTTTACTTTATTATTATTTTTTTAATTTTACAGAGAGAGAGAGCGAGAGAGAGCATGCGCACGAGTGGGGAAGAGGGGCAGAGAGAGAGAGAAAATCTTTTTTTCAATTTTTTTTTTTAACATTTATTTATTTTTGAGACAGAGAGAGACAGAGCATGAACGGGATAGAGTCAGAGAGAGAGGGAGACACGGAATCTGAAACAAGCTCCAGGCTCTGAGCTGTCAGCACAGAGCCCGACGCGGGGCTCGAACTCACGGACCGCGAGATCATGACCTGAGCTGAAGTCGGACCCTTAACCGACAGAGCCACCCAGGCACCCCGAGAAAATCTTAAGCAGGCTCCATGTCCAGTGCGGATCCGATGTGGGGTCTGATCTCATGACCCTGGGATCATGACCTGGGCCAAAATCAAGAGCTGGATGCTCAACTGACTAAGCCACTCAGGCACCCCAAGTATTAAATGTAAAACATCAACCAAAGGTCTGACAGCTTATATATGACAGTAAAACAGTGATGACTAGAATTGTCCTTCCAGAAAATCTTCCGGAGAAGTCTAGTTAGCTTTCCTTATGCCTCAAATCACCTAAGGGTAACCCTTTATCTCACTGATCAGAGACCAATACTGTACATGTCATGTAATGAAAATTAAGAGCCAGAGAAGAGAAGAACAAACAATATTGCTTTTGTGACTATTTTACATGTGAGGCACTTTACCTATATTTGAACCTATATTATGCATTTCTTGCCTACAAATGGGTACATCTACAGCAGATAAAGTTTACAAATTCTTTTGATGCCCATATACTTAAGGGGAACTAAGACTTATAAAGTATTTCTTTAGGCCTTGAAAGGTGGCTTTGTGCTTTATGTATTTACTTTTAGGTCAAACAACTTTATGATATGAGCATTATGACTTATTTTAGAGTAAACAAAGAAAGACTCAGAGGAGTTAAGGCCAAAGGCTGGTAGGCGGCAGGCAGCGTGGGGACTGGCTAAGAAGTTCTGGGGGGAAAACGACCTGGTTGAAGAAGTACTTATTAAAAGCCCAAAAGAAATAATAGGAGAGACCAAAAAGATTTACAGATGGATTCTAGATGGCCGAAGTTCTTTACGGTAAGAAATAAAGATGAGGAAGAAAAATCCCCTTTGTTTGGCCTAACTGCCATCTTATAATCCAAGCTGTGTTTACACAGAAAGGGGACGTGGTGTCCCATTTGCATCTACTGGCGGCCTCGCTACTTTGTGCAGCACTTACAAAGCACTACGGCCTTGACTAAGGAAACACAAACTCTCTCAAGTCCTCCAAATGCTCTTGATAATGGACTGATATATCACCATCCTGAGGCAAACCCACAGGAATAAAGAGAATGAGCTAGGGTAGTTAGGGAGAGTCATTCAGAAAGAGAAGACATAAAACGTATTAGAAGATACAACAACAATTAAAATGAGAGAAAAAAATTCAATCTTCAAGGCCAAATCGATGTGAATGCCTGATACAGGCTACATGGGATTCCTGATTGCTCCAAGAATGCACCTTCTGAATTCATGGACTACCTCAAGCCAGTCTTTTTTTTTTTTTTTAAGGTTTATATATTTATTTATTGTGAGGGAGAGTGAGCCTGAGCCAGGGAGGGGCAAAGAGAGAGAGAGAGAGAGAGAGAGAGAGAGAATTCCAAGCAGGCTCCGCATTGTTGGTGAAGAGCCTGACTTGGGGTTTGACCTCATGAACCATGAGATCATGACCTGAGCTGAAATCAAGAGTCAGAGGCTTAACCAACTGAGCCACACAGGTGCCCCTCAAGCCAGTCTTCTTAACATTGAGAATATGGTTACGGATGATGAAAAAATAGCTTCATATTGTAAAACCTAGCCACAAACTTTTTCTTACATCTGCTAAGAAAAGCATCTGGTTTAGTTCTCACAGCTTAATAAAGACCAATGGGAAGTAGCATTTCCATTAAAATCTTTTTTTTTAATGTTTATTTATTTTTGAGAGAGAGAGAGAGAGAGAGAGAGAGAGAGAGAGAGAGAGGAAGTGTGCATGCACTCATGAAGAGGAGAGGGGCAGAGAGAGAAGGAGACAGAGACTCCCAAGCAGGTTCCGCACGGTCAGTGCAGAACCCGATGGGGTGGGAGGGGGGTCAGGCTCGAATTCATGAACTGTGAGATCATAACCTGAGCTGAAATCAAGACTTGGTTGCTTAACTGACTGAGCCAGCCAGGCGCCCCTCCCATTAAAATCTTAAAACTGAATTTCCTCCTCAAAAGTCAGAAAGTAATAATTTTGGAAGCACTGAAGTGTCAAGGGTCTCACTATTTCTGTGATTTGGGAGCTGTAATAAGGGCATCAGGAAGGGAAAGGCATAGGAATTGAAGAGAAGCAGTTGATGAAGACCTATAATGAGCCAGACACTCTAACAGACACTTTTACATATGTTATGTCATTTAATGATCCTGTGAGGTATGTTTTTATCTCCATTTTACATATAGGAAAGAAGCTAAGGCTCAGAAAGGTAAAGTGACTTCTACAGTGCCAGTTTTTCACTGTGGGGGTGAAATTTGAACCCAGGTCTGACTACACTAGATGGTTCCACAAGTGGAGGAAAGATAAAAATATCAAATTTATACTGAGCCTGTTCTTTCATGCATATTTATGCTAGGCCTATACAAAGGACACCTAATCCCTAGGGGAAGACATATTAGCTCACCTCTCTTGTGTCTTTATCTGGTATTAGTGTCTGGAAGAAGAGGTGATGCACTGGAGGTCGTAAGAAGTACTTCAGTCTATGCAGGCATGGTCTGCTGTATAACCCACCTTGTGGTGTTCGTGCTTGTACCTGGGCAGACTCGGGGTTAGCAGGCTCTGACAGTGATCTCTCTTTTCTAGCTGGTGTTTCTGTAGCAGAGAGCCAAGGAACTTTCTCTAAGGAAGTTTCAAACTGTGGAGACTGTGGACTGGGAGAGGACCTTGGAGAAGATGGAGCTGAGACATCCATAGGGATGTCATGGTTCTGTATATCATATTGGGGAGGGTCAGGCCAGTCTTGTCGTAAGTGAGGCAAATCTCCAAGTGAGTGTAGCATGTCTCCTGGCAAGCAAGGCATGTCTCCAGCTGAACGGAACATATCTCCTGGGAAGTGTGGGACTTCGCCAGGTGAACGTGGCACGCTTTCTGGTGACTGTGGCGCATCTGCTGGTGACTGTGGCATGTCTGATGGTGACTGTGACATGCTTACTGGTGACTGTGGCACATGTCTTGGTGACCGTGGCACGTCTTCTGGCGACTGTGGTGTGTCTCTTGATGACTGTGGCACATCTCCCAGTGACTGTGGCATATCCCGTAAGTGTGCCACATCTTGTGGATATGATATGTTTTGAGGTGGGCCTGGTACATCTTGAGGTAGGCCCAGAGAGTCTTGAGGTGGGCACAGTGAGTCTTGAGGTGGGCTGGGTGAGTACTGAGGTTGCCACGATGAGTCTTTAGGTGGGCTTGGCACCTTCTGCTGAGGGCATGGCATCTCTTGAGGAGGGCATGGAACTTCTTGAGGCGGGTGAGGCAAAGCTTGTAGTTGGCACTGCATGGTTTGTGGTGGGCATGACAAGGCTCGTGGTGGGCACGAGGAGGCTCGTGGTGGACAGGGTGAGGCTCGCAGTGGGCATGGCAAGGCTCGCAGTGGGCATGGCAAGGCTTGTGGTGGGCAAGGCACATCTCGCTGTGGGGTTGGCAAGGGTGCCCTCTGATTGCTGCTGCTACCATTATTGCTTGTTGGGGAATGGGAGTGAACATCTGAAGATAGCTGTAGGCTTGCCAAGAAGCCAAGGTCACCTTTGAATGCAGTTGAGCTGCAATTTGGCTCTGCTGCATAAATAGAGTCCCCACTGACGGATGTAGGAGGTTGTGGACCTTCAAATGCGGTTTCTTCCAAAAGGTCCAAATCCACAGGATCGCTGTTAATGATTCTCCGTGCTGCAGGCCGAGAGCTTCTGTCTACCCGCCCTTCCATCACCTCTTTGCTGGAGAGGCTGGCACATGTCTGAAGACTGGCTGGCTCCTTCTGGGAAGGAGCAACAGGTTCTAGGGTCAAGTCAAGAGTGGCAATAGGTCTATTTTCTTCTTCAGTTCTTGTCAGGTCAATCACACAGAGTCCATTGCGATCCTTTGCCCTTGGTCTGGTTTCTCTGGTTAAGTCAATGAAGTCCTGTTAAAATATTATGAGAATATAAGTGGTCAAGTAGGGAGCCTTTGCTTTATCTAAGAAGATCTGCATCTGAGCTTTTAAGGATAATCATATTTTACCTTTTCACTTCACTGAAAATTTATACATTTTATATACCATAAGCATTAGTATTTCCTTTGGTCAAAATTTTGCTACTGTCAATCTGTCAATTTCTATACCATCTTAAATTATCCAAATGCCACATGCATATAACTGAGGGCATAGTGGGAAATTTTTTCTGATCCAAGGTAAATAGGGGAGTAGTAGGGAAGATTGCAACCTTAAGTCACAAGGGAAAAAGCAACCTTTGTTTGGAAAAGCAACTTACTTACAACAGAAACTAAAGAAGGTAAGCTAATATAAGAGAATCTACTATGTGCTGAGAACATGTTGAGTGCTTGCACGTATCTTTAACTTTCACAATATCCCTGTCAGGTAGGCTTTATAATCTCCATTACACAGATGGGGAAAATGGAGTTCAGAGGAGTTAGGTCATTACCTAAGGATTATACAATTAAGTCACAGACACACACATTCAAACCCAGGTCCGTTTCCTTTTTTCTCTGTACAACTTCATCCAATATATAATTACCTTATAGTCAGATATGTAGAGTAATGCAATAACAGTTATAAAACCAACAGTGTAAGTCTGAGCCCTAACTAGGTTCATTATTGGAAAACCTCCTGTCTTTACCTCCATTCCTTGCCAAAATGATTAGGTACTTCATAAACCCTAATGACACCTGCCCATGGTACTAAAATCAATCTCTGTGCCATACACATGTTAAAATATTGTACTCCCTTCAACTCTCAAAACTGTCTCAGTGTGGATGAAAATTAATAGCCTAATTATCCATCAATCTCATTGATGAATATGAATGCAAATATTCTCTATGAAGTATTAGTAAATCCAGTATTTAAAAAAAAAAGTTCCATTTCTGATCAGAATGGCTAGCTAGATACTCTGATCAACCAACCTAATAAAAGCGAGAAATTATATACAAATGTAAAAACACGGGAGAGGTTATAACAAGAAAAACTGACCAAAAAGAAAGCCAGTGTACCTATATTAATGTCAGACAAACTAGATTTCAAGGAAAATAGTGTTACTAGAGATAAAGAGGCTACTGTACAATAAAAGACTTATTTCATCAAGATATAATAATTTTAAAACTATATGCCTAATAACAGTCTCCATAAAGCAAAAACAGATACAAGGAGAAAAAGGAATATCCAGTCATTGTAAGAAACTTTTACATGTCTTTCTGGATTGATAGATTACTCAAACAAAAAAATTATTATTGATACAAAAGATTTGAACACTTTTTTAAAAGTTTCTATTTTGAGAGACAGAGAGAAAAACAGAGGGGGTGGGGTGGGGCAGGGAGAGAGAATCCCAAGCAGGCTTTACACTGTCAGTGCAGAGCGTGATGCAGGGCTTGAACTCATGAACTGCGAGATCATGACCTGACCTGAAATCAAGAGTTGGACACTTAACCGACTGAGCCACCCAGGTACCCCAAGATTTGAACACATTTAGTAAGCTTCATCTGAAGGACTCAGAATAGATATTCACAATTACACGAAATATTTACAAAAATTGACCACAAACCAGGAGTCAAAGTACATCTTAGTCAATGTCAAAAACATTATCACTCAGGCCAAAATACTATTAGGCTAGGAAGCAGCACAAAAGAATAACTAGGAAAAACTCCATATAACTGCAAATAGGTCAAAGGAGGAATCACAAATTAGAGAAATTTTAGAACTGAACAATAACAAAAATACCAGTTATTAAAATGTGGCATGCAGAATCACTATGTAGAAAAAAATGCACACTTACACACTTAATTAGAAAAGTGGAATGGAAGAAAATTAACGTGCTAAGCACAAACCTTTTGATAGCAGAAAAAGGAAAAAATACCCCCAAAGAAAGCAGAACAGAGGAAATAAGAGCAGAAATGAATGAAACAGAGAGCACAACAGAGAAGTGCAACAATGTTACAGGTTGTTCTTCTAAAAGATTATTAAAATCGGCAAACATCTGAGAAGAAATTTGAGAACAAAGGCGCAAATAACCAATATTAAGAATGAAAATAGGACAAAATTACAGATGTTTTTAAGATAAAAAAGATGAGAAGATGTTATGAATAATTTTATGTCGAAAAAACTTGGGAACTTGGATGAAACAGATAAATGCCTGGAAAAATAAAGCTTAGCAAAACTGACTCAAGAAACTGGGTGATGGGTACATGGGGGATCATTATACAATTTGCTAAATTTTTCATGTTTGTGATTTTCCTTAATGAAAAGACATTTTTAAGTTGACTCAAGAAGAAAGAAAAAAATCAAAATAGTCCTTTAACCAATAAAGAAATAAATCAGTAGTTGAAATTTTTTCCATCAAAAAACACCAGGTCAAGGTGATTTTAGAAATCATCTGTTTATGGCACAAAAACAGACACATAGACCAATGGAATAGAATAGAAACCCCAGAACTAGACCCACAAACGTATGGCCAACTCATCTTTGACAAAGCAGGAAAGAACATCCAATGGAAAAAAGACAGTCTCTTTAACAAATGGTGCTGGGAGAACTGGACAGCAACATGCAGAAGGTTGAAACTAGACCACTTTCTCACACCATTCACAAAAATAAACTCAAAATGGATCAAGGACCTGAATGTGAGACAGGAAACCATCAAAACCTTAGAGGAGAAAGCAGGAAAAGACCTCTCTGACCTCAGCCGTAGCAATCTCTTACTCGACACATCCCCAAAGGCAAGGGAATTAAAAGCAAAAGTGAATTACTGGGACCTTATGAAGATCAAAAGCTTCTGCACAGCAAAGGAAACAACCAACAAAACTAAAAGGCAACCA